AATCTGTTTCCCTCCCTTTTGACTGATACAAAATTCTAGGCTGGTGGTTTTTCTCCTTCAACATTAAATATTTCATGCCTCTCTCTTGCTTTCTTTAGTGAAAAGTTCTCAGTTTTTAAGATTTTTTTTTTTTCAATTTATTTGAGAGGCAGGGAGCATGAAAAGAAGAGATGGAGAGGGAGGAAGAGTGATGAAGGGAGATGGAGGGAAAGGAGGCAGCAGGGAGAGAGTGAGAGATCAATGTACAATTCATGAATTCACTCCCCAAATGCCTGGAACCCCAAGAGACCGAAATAAGCAAACAAAAAGTATTATCAGTAGTCCTTGTAAGTAGGAGTCATGCATTTATCTTACTCTCTGGCTTCTTCGGCTTTGGATTTCTGTAGTTGGAATAGGAAATGGGATGAGTTTTTGGTTTTTTTTTTTTGCATTTATCCTGTTTCTGTGTGTGTGTGTGTTTTCTCAACTTATTTGATTTGTGGTCTAACGTCTTTCATTGATTTTGGGAAATCCTCAGCCATTGTTTAAAACATTTTTCTGCTCCCTTCTCTTGTTCTTTGCTGTCTAGCATTCCTATTCTGTGTCTCCTACACTGTTCATCCCACAGTTCCCAGGTATCCTGCTGTTCATGTCTTCATCCTCTTCTCTCACTGCATTTCCTGCTGACCAGTCTCTGTTGATGGATCTTCAGCTGACAGTCATGGATCTTTCCTCACCATGTCCTGCGTCACTCATTCGTTATAATGCATCTGAGTTCCTGCACTGCTTTTTGCTCCTTTGTCACAGTTGCCATCGCTGTGTCTGTTACTCACCTGTCTAGGTATGCTGTCTGCTCTTTTCTTTACAGCTCTGACCAGGAGTCATATTTATATTCCTGAGTGCAGTGCTTGTTTGCTTTCTTCAGATGGCTTTTATTTATTTATTTGCCTTTCACATGCTTATGCTTTCTGGTGAAAGCCAGAGGCAATGTACCAGGTGGGAACTGAGGTAGACAGGCCTCAGTGTGTACCTGGCTGGTAGCTGTGTTAGAGCCTTCCTGTGCTTGACACCTGCGGCACTAATTTAGTGCCCAGCGCCGTGGTGCCAGGAGGCCTGGGGAGGTGGAGGACACCCGCAAGGTGGGATTACAGATCTTTACCAGAGGGCTCCATGTGGAGTTTGCCCCATGTTGGAAGAAACAAATATCCAGTGGATCACTAGAGGCTGGCATGACTTAGCTTGAGTTGAAAACTCAGTTGCATCACTGTCTCTCTGGGTGGCTGATTCCCTTTGTGACAGTGACTTGCAGATCCAGGGAGGGCCAACTGGCTGTGTTGAAAAATATTCACAAATCAGGCACATGATTTTTCTGACTGCTCTCTCCACATACTTTTTTTTCCCCAAGATTTACTTTTTAAATTTGAAAGGCAGAGTTAGACAGGAGAAACAGGGAGATCTTCCATCTGCTGGTTCACTCCCCAAATGACTATAATGGCTGGAGGTAGGCCAGTCCAAATCCAGGTGTCATTCAAGATGGACAGAAATGCCCCCAGAGATCCGCCTGAGCAAACTGACAACCATGATCATGCTGAAAGTGAGTCCTAAAGGCAGGGCCGCAGGGGCTGGTGTGATGGCTCAACTGGCTAACCTCTGCCAGTCGGTACCAGGATCCCATGTGTGTCAGTTCATGTACCAGCTAGTGAATTGAAGCTATTTCTCTCTCCTCACTGGAAATTTGTCTTCCCAATAGATTTAATTTAAAAACTGGCATTATTCCTTCCCTTGCCTGCTCCATTGTCATATCATGTGGCGCTATTATGAACAGGAGCATTCAGCTTCCTTCTTCCTGCAGGTTTCAAAACCCGAGGACCCACTGGTGTTTCCTCCACACCAATCAGGACCTATGATACCCCTGGAGGCGTCAAACTCCTCCCACAAGTTGAGTGCAGAAAATGGAGTGACACAGGGACTGCTGCTATGGTGTACCAGGTTAAGCTACCCACCTGCAGTACCAGCATACCATATCAATGTTGGCTCACTTGTCTGCTCCACTTGCGATCCAGCTCCCTGCTAATGTGCCTCAGCAAATAGCAGATGGCCCCACAACAGTTCCAGCTTCGGTTTAGCTCAGCCCTGTTTCTATGTGTGTCTCCTCTGTTGCTCTGCCTTTCAAATGAATAAATCTTTCTTTTTTTAAAGATCTATTTTATTTTTTATTGGAAAGGCGGACATACAGAGAGGAGAGACAGAGAGGAAGATCTTCTGTCCGATGATTCACTCCCCAAGTGACTGCTATGGCCGGTGCTGCACCGATCCGAAACCAGGAGCCAGGAACTTCTTCCAGGTCTCCCATGTGGGTGCAGGGTCCCAAGGCTTTGGGCCATCCTTGATTGTTTTCCCAGGCCACAAGCAGGGAGCTGGGTGGGAAGTGGAGCTGCCGGGATTAGAACCAACGCCCATATGAGATCCCAGGATGTCCAAAGCTAGGACTTTAGCCGCTAGGCCACTGCGCCAAGCACCTAATGAATAAATCTTATGAATGAGAAAGAAAAGCAAAAGCAAACAGTGACCACATGAAACCCAAGGAGTCTTGCTTGCGGACAAACTGTACAGCCATCTGGGCACCTGATGTGATGACCCTTCCTCGTTCATCTTCAGTCTGACTTAACACTAGCTTCTTAGACCATGAAAAGATCATGAAGATCCACTTTAGCACTTCACAGTCACAAAATTCCTCGAATCTGCTCCCTGAAAAAGCAACCCTGGTGCCCAGCATGCAGATGCAATTGGGCAGTACCCCAATGTCATGTCTGTACCCCCTTGGCATCTATTCCTTTCCATTCTACAAAGCTGGCAGCTGTTTGGCTGCTGGGGGCACAAATCCATCTGCCCAGTGCATGCCTGCAACTCCTGGCACTTGGACGAATTTATCACATGCTTTGGGCGGAAGCCAGGGAGTGCTAATGACTGGTTGCATTTTAATTCTAATCCAATTAGCTCCCCTCCATGCTCTGAAGTTCAAACAAGAATCCCTGGCTTCCTGATGACATGGTCAAGTTCTGGTTACATGCATTCAGGGAGGCTGGCTCTCACATAGCACTCCTACAAGGCCAAGGCTAAACTCAGAGGCTACTTACTCACAGATTCGCAGCAGGGACACCTTCTGTCACCACCCACTTCAGCAAGGGCTCAAAAGATGCTCCTGCATTAGCTGCACAGGGCCAACAGAGTAGGCTTCACTTTATTTGAAAAACAAAATTGTCCCACCTACTGGTTCACCCCTGTGCCAAATGCCCCAAACAGCTAGGGCCAGGCCAAAGTCATGAGCCTAGAGCTGTCTAACAGCTGTCTAACATCCAGCTAACAGGGACCAAAGCACTTGAGCTTCATTTGCTGCTCCCCCAGGGTGTATATTACCAAGAAGCTGATTACTGCAGGAACCAGGACTTGAGTTAACTACAGCTTAGGGTGTGGGTATCCCAAGTTGTCAATTGTTGTGCTAAAATGCCTGCCCTTACAGCCACAAACTTTATGAGGTAACCCTTAGACACTGAAAGTAAAAGTGGGGCCCAGCGCAGTGCTCACCTTGCACATGCCAGGATCCTACTTGGGCATTAGTCCATGTCCCAGGTGCCCCACTTCCCATCCAGCCCCCTGCTTGTGGCCTGGGAAAGTAGTCAGGATCGTCCAAAGCCTTGGAACCCTGCACCCACATGGGATCCCAGAGGAGGGTGCTGGCTTTGGATCAGATTGGCTCAGCTCCAGCTATGGTCACTTGGGGAGTGAACCAGTGGCTGGAAGATCTTTCTGTAAATCTGACTTTCCAGTAAAGTAAATAAATCTAAAACAAGCAAACAAACAAAGGTCAAAACAAAACAGAGAGCCTAGTGCAATGGCTAGTGGCTAAATTCTCACCTTGAAAGTGCCAGTATCCCATATGGGCACCAGTTCTAATCCCGGTGGCCCCTTTCCATCCAGCTCCCTGCTTGTGGCCTGGGAAAGCGGCTGAGGACAGCCCAAAGCCTTGGGACCCTGCACACATATAGGAGAGGCTCCTGGCTTTGGATCAACCATTGTGGCCATTTGGGGAATGAACTTGCAGATAGAATATCTGTTCACTTCTCTTTGTAAATCTGCCTTTCCAATAAAAATCAAACTTGAAGATTGCTCACCCTCACGTCTCCCTGTTGGATTCTGGCAGGAGTCCTTGTGATTACAATGGGTCTACCCACAATCCAGGGTGATCTCTTCCCAGGGCCCTCCTTCTGTAGCAGGCCCCAGGGACTAAAATGGGGACACCTTGGAGGGCCAGGACCCTGCCCATCACTGTCCTGATCCAGAGCATTTATTGAACTTGAAGTTCCGTGAAAATGAACAGCTTTCCTGTGTCTGGGTGAAGGCACAACACCAAGTGCAAGAAGGCCAGGGTGCAGAATGTTAGTTAAGTTAACCTCTAGAAAAGGCAGGCATAATCTATGGTGGGAAAAATGGCAACAACTGTTGCCTCAGTGGGGGTGGGGTGCAGTAGAGACTAAGGAAGAGCATAATGGGGTCTCCCGGATGATGACGCCCAACTGTTTGTAGTAGTGTGAACAAGCACTTGCTCACTGATATGCCTGGGCGTGTGTGTGTGCAGTGATGCCAGCTATCTCCGAAACGTGACAAAGGATGCTAGCTCTGTGACACAAGGGCGTGGTAACACTTCACTGCCACACTCAGCAAGGAAGCTAGCATAGCACTGGGGAATGCATCCAGCAGGCCTCTGCACTCCAGGAGTCAGGAAGCAACACTAAATTAAACCTGCACCTTGACGGGTGCTCCTCTCATTGCACAGCGACTTCCTGCTTCGACGGTGCCCCTTTCTCATCCCAGAGTGGCCATTGAGGAAAGCTATTCACTACTATAGTTCTTCCATAGGTCACTGTCTTGAACCCTGCATCCCCACTGCTCAACAGCCTAACTCAGTCCTCTGCACCAAATGGCAGCAGTAGGGTTGGAAGGAAATCACTACAACACAGAGCTGAGAAAAGCCAGCATAAAGCACTTTATTGCAATAATAAAACTGGAAACTCACATGTAGTGCCAGAGGGAAGGGGTGCTGCAAGTTTCTCACCACATCACTACACAGGACAGCAGATGGGGGTGAGAGCTGGGAATGCTGAGATCAGCAGAGAGGCAAGCATCAAACTCCGGGAGATGCTGAAGCTGCGATGACCAGCATCACTTTCTCAGAACACTCAAGGATGTATTGTGATGACCGGGCTTTCGCTGGGTGATGGGCTATAAACAGCACCTTCAATTTAAACTTTCAACTGAAGTTTATTAAAATTTAGCAAGTGCTGGAGTTTGGATATTTTGCAGATTATAAAAGTTCTGAAAATCCACTAGAAAAACCACAGGATGTTAGGGGAAAAAAAAGTCAGCCAGGTCGCACAGAAGGCTTCAGAGGTCCCTGCTGGCCAGGGACAGGTACCTGTAGTGTCCAGCATTGCAGGGACGCGGTCAGGTGGCAAAGGCAGAGTAGCTTCAGGAGGCTGGGCAGGGGCTGTGCAGGCGAAGGCTCCCCTGTCCCCACTCCAGTTTGGGCAGCATGTTAATCTAACCCGAGGACGTGTCTCACGTGGGAGACTCATTCAGCCCCCGGCAGTGCTGCAGCAAGGCTGCCTAATACATAATAGATACAAATCCCAACCAAAAAATAAAAATAAAGACTCTTGCAAACCCTGTCACCCAACACCAACTCCTGCACTGAAGTTGACCTACCACTGTGCTGTTGATACCTGACCACTTCTCCATTGGAAACCTAGACCCAAAACGGAAACAATCTTTACCCTAAAATGAGAACAAAATAAAACGAGCCACTTGAGGTTTATGGTGTACACTTTAGGTGACCACACATACAAAGAGGCAGGGGAGAGGAAGTAGGGGTGTGAGAAGCAAAGCCGAGGGACAGAACACATTCAGTCGGGCTGCTGTTTGTACAGAGGGCTTAGTGGAACCGCAGGAAAAGCTCCGATGGATTCGTGTGCACGTGCCTGGAGCACCAGACCCCTTCATGGCAGATCTGTTAGGGACAAAACATGAGCGAGTTGCAGCAAGTCAGTATTCTTGGCAGGACAGACCTAATGCTAGCTGCCATACAAACAGACCTCGATCTGGCTGACCAGTCAGATACATTGGCCAGAGAATTTGCTTTTTCTTGTTTTAAGCCTCAGGAGAGGTCCATCTGAGGAGGTCACCCATGCCTGAAGTTTCCTGGAATCACAGGGTTTCCAACAGCCAGGAGTCACCAGGGAGTTTTGAAACATCCTAGTGACTGTATCCACCCTGCCCCCCAACAGTGACTGATTTTTAAAAGCTATGCTGGTGACTCTCAAGTGTGCTAAGAACCACAGCCCTGCCTCGGTGTCTGTCAGCCCTTTGACAGTGGGTAGGAAGGCCAGGTCAATGGGAGAAGCAGCCTTCATCTTTCCTGTCTCCATCCCACAGGCTCACAGAAAACCTATTCCCAAGCCCTGCCAACCCTGAGACAGTCTCCTCCATCCCCTTCCCAAGTTCAAACAACCCACTTCTTTAAAGCTAACAAAAAGCTGTCACTAAAGATAGCCGGGACAGGACAAAGTCACTGGCAGCTCTGACATTGTCAGGCCAACAGCTGCTTGCTGCAAAACATATTCTCCCTCAGCCAGTCTCTAGCCCCTAGTGCCAAGGGCAGGAGGGAGAGAGATAAAGACTGGCCCGCCTGAACAAGGATGACGATATTACATCTGTGCTTCAACGACTGACACAAAGGGCCACGTGTCACCAGGACATAAGGTTTGCTTTCCTAAGAAATGAGGGAAGAACAAGCAGCCAGGAAATGGGTCAAGTTTCCTAGCTCTCCAGTGCCTGCATGTGACATTGAGTAAGTTTTTCTCCCTGGGCCTCAGTTTCTTCCCCCATGACACAGGAAAACTGACTTGGGCTCTATGACCCAACAGCATCCTCTGACCTCACCTTGCCACTCCTATGACTGGTAAGCCATCCTGCTTGCCATGGGTGTTCTGGGCTCACTCCCGGAGACAAGTGGACCAAAATAGCAGCAGCTCTGTGCTATCTGATGGGCAGTGACCATGAACCGTGTGGATGGGAGAGCCGCCACAGAAGGATAGCATGTGCCTGTCAGAGGTACTCTCTTACTAGCTTCAGGAAATACAGGGCCGTGCAGTCCTATTTCCCAAGAACTAAAATGCTGACACTAACACTTGGGCCTGTTTCCATGACCTCTGACCCCCAACACTCTAAGCTGTGTACATGCAAACATGCCACTACTGTCTCAGCCCCTGGCCCCCAACTCCTTGTCTGGGCTGTGTAGAGGCAGACACGCTGCTGCCATCTCCAGGGGACCACCCCTTCCTCCCCATGACCCACTGGTGGATTCAGTGTTCATATGGATAAACTCTGATGAGATGCTCATAGAGCAAGGAGTGCATGGGAAGAAGAAAGTCCTGCAACTCATCCAATGTGGAGAAAGCCTAGAAGGTTACAGCTCTTCAGCATCAAGTTTCCTTACCCAAGAACAGGGAACTAGGGGAGGAGGCCATTCCTGTCATTCCAGTTTTAGAAGCTCCACGTCAAAGACGAGAGTGGCATGAGGTGGGATGATGCCCGGGTGCCCGGTGGCACCGTAGGCATAATCTGGGGAGATGGTCAGTTTGGCCCTCTGACCCACACTCATCTGTGAAGAGAACAAGGAACAAAGCCTCAGCTGGGTGTCCTGGCTGAGAAGCAGAGCCGCTTACCTGCGCAGCCACAGCCACCGCAGCAATTGCAGCAGGCTGGCAGATGCCATGCTGCTGCACTGTACTCCAAGAGACCAAGGGAAGTTAAATGCTCCTCAGATCCCTCCATGACACGTCAGGCCCTCCCACCTTCCCACCCAGGTCTCAGTGAGTCTGCTGACACTCTAGCAGACTAGAATGGTCTGCTGCCCCAGACCTCTCCTTAAGAAACACAGCCATTGTCCCTTGGTACCCACAGGATTGGCTCTAGGACCCCAGAGGTCTAGGACCCAGCACTCAACCCACACAACACATTATTGTTCAGTGTTAGAACAGTCGCAGAAAGACTGTGGCATGGACAACGGCTGGTGTGAGGGATGAGACGAGGCAAAAAAAGCTGGGCAGGTGTCCCAGGGGATGTAAACCACACGGTCCCCTGCCTTGCACTGCCAGTCTGCCCTACAGGAGCAGAAACCCAGGTGCCCAGGAAGGCTCCTGAAAGCCTAGAGGTTTATTTGGATGAAACTCCATGACATTTGTAGAGTAAGTAGGACTTTGAGTATTCTGGGAAACAGAGACAAAAATCTTTCATCTTGCTAAATTCCCAATTTTCTGTGGCAGGCGGGCGGGCGAGCAATACCCTTGGCAACCCACAAGCTAAGGACCCCAAAAAGCCCCCTGGGTCTCAGGCCAAAATCTCCCCTTCCTGGTGGAGCCAAGGAAGGACAGCGTGTGACTTAGCTGGGCTGCCTAGGGACCCCTGTTGTCTCCTTCTCCTGGGAATTCTCTAGGGTTGGCAGCACAACAGCTGCTCCTGCAACTAGAAAGGAAGGAGGTGAGGAAACACTCAAGACAAACAAAATGACTTTGTCCCAAAGATGACCTCTCCCATATGGCCTGACACAATGTGGACAGTATGAAGCAAACCAAGGTGATCCCAAGCTGTCATTTCTCACTAAAACTGCTCTTAGGCCAAAAGCCTACCAGGAGGGGCTGAGGGGGGGAGATGGTCCCTTCTTGTCCTGACTTGACAAGCACCTTCAAAGCACGGTGCGCACCGAATTCAGCCTATGGCAACACCTGCATGCAGGGAAAATAAAGTCATACAAGTGAGTCCCTGTCCCCTAACACTGCAGCAGAATGTGGAACATGATCCAGATGCCCATCAGAAGGGCACTGGCCAAATCCAGGCCCATTCTTCTGTGCTGGGACAGGAGGTGTCAAAATGGAAGGATGTGTATAGTGTGTATTTACAGAGGAAAAACAGGACTGTGTGTCTGTAGGTAGGCTTAAAGAACCACCACAGTACAAACAACACTACCAACAGGCATTACCTGCCAGCATGATAGGCAGAGGGAACAGGATGAGAATCTGTCTTAATTATACCTTTTCTGATTTTCTGGAATCACTTTTTAAATGTTCAAAAGTAATTTAAAAAGCAGATCCTAGGAAACACACCAAGACCATACCTGGGCAACCCCTTCTTCCCAGCCTCGGATCACCTCCTGCTTCCCCAGCATAAACTTAAAGGGCTTGTTTCTGTCCCGGGAGGAATCGAATTTCTTTCCATCTTCAAGCATCCCTGTGAAAAAGGGCAGATGTAACATGAGTAATGAGGAGGAAGGCATAGACTGGGCAGCTTAAAGAGCAGCAGCAGCTGCTCCGGCGGCGCTCCCCTCCCAGCCTGCACTGTGCCAGGGGGGACGTTCCAGGCACCTAAGGAGCACTGTGGATGCCATTTGCCCACCCTGCCAAGCAGTGAGTGGAGCAGCACGGGCAGGCAGTCTCTGTGGGTTTCTTCCTTGATTAAGAACTGCAGCCTTCCAGCTTGCCCTAGGCTGAAACAGCAAGAAGCGGCACTCCCTGGGATGTGATGCCTGACCCACTGCCCCGCCTCTGTCCTGCTGGGACACACCCTTCCACCAGCCAGCCAGCCTCAGCCTTCTCCTCTGGGTTCTAGAATGAGCCTGTCCATGCTGCTGCTCCCCACAGGACAGGAGAGCCACTCAGTCCCAGGGAGGGCTGCAGCTGAGGGTCTTACCACCCAAGGTTGGGCCCCTCAGGCAGAGAAATCTTAAGGTGTTCTCATCCTCTGGGAAAATGGAGAGCCCGATGGAAGAGAGGCTGGGCCAGCCAGCTGTAGACACGACAGACACAAACTGAAGGCGCATCAAAACAGCTCTGTGTTGTGGGGCCATCTGTGTGTTTAGGGGAGGAGGGAAATCATGACACAGTCTCCACCCAGAAGCAGAGAGGAACCGAGAGCGTTATCACAGCCACCAGACCCCGCAGACTTCAACAAAATAGGAAATGAGGGTGGGGGAGTGGCGGCAGTGCTGCTGTCCCAAGAAAGCAGGTGGGAGACGGATGTCCTGGACAAACAGGCACCAATGCTGACCGGAACCCAGAGCCTGGAGTTAGGAGCTGAGGAGACAAGGAGAAAGGGCCTGGCCCTGCTCCCAGGCAGGGCAGAACCCAGATCATGATCCGGAAGTGGGGAGCAAGGATATGTGGAGCCCATTCCTTTATCACAAAACAATTAGACTAGCTGAAAGACAGGACAGACAGCTGAGCCTGCAGAGTGCAGGAAAAGCTGGGAGAGAACAGGTCTCCCTGGCCACAGTCCCCACATACCTCCTTGACCCTGGTCAGGCGTATGGAGGGTGATGGCAGACAATGAACAGCCCCAATCCTCAGAACAATCCTCTCCTGGGCCGAGCCAGCAGCTTTTCCACACAGCCTCATGAGACTGCTCCTTGTAACCACCACGAGGAAACCAACTCCTGGGCTGTGCATGCTGCCCAAAGATGGCAAGGAGTCGGGCCTGGCTCTAGCAGAAGGCTTTAATTAGCCTAAGAGGGACTTTGAACCACAAAAATATATTGAAAACCCGGAAGATCCTCTTTCTGGTCCGTACTCTTTAGAGCAGACCTTGGGCTGGAGCCCGGAGTTCCCCCCGGATCTGACGGGCAAGGCAGCAGGTGAGGAAATATCGTAGGAGGAGAGTGACACGTGAGGGCAGCCCTAGCGCTGAGTCCTGAACCATCTGCAAAAGCCAGAGAACCCCAGTCCAGAGGAGCCCTAGAACTACGCTGTTGTCTTGATTGCCCATCCACTTCTAGGGGAACATCACTCAGCTCTCCTGGGGCAGCTAACAACCTGGGTCAGGAAATGAACCAGAATCAATCAAAGTCTTCCCTTTGCCAGGATCAGTGTGAACTGGTGATAGGAACCCATCTGGGCACTAAGATCTACTCAGTTTAGGCACTACTTCACCCATTGCGAAGTTTCCTGGAGTCTTCCAGGAAGTCCTCCCTTTCCGATAAAAGAGGCACTCAGGACAAAGGCCCCTGTCCTGCCTTCCAGCTGGATGTCATGAAGCATGCTTGCAGTCACAGCAGCCACCGTGTGACCCTGAGGTGGTCAAGCCAATGCCCTGTAGCAGCTCCAGTTCCATCCTGAGATGAGGAAACCTTGCTTCAAAACCAAAACCCATGGAGTGACAAAAAGATCAGTGGTGGCACCAGCACTGTCTTAGTGCCCCAAGCCACTGCTTCTAATGCTGGCATCTCGTATCGGTCCACCTACTTCGGAACAGGCCATTCTACTTCCCATCTGCTCCCTGCTGATGTACCTGGGAAGGGAGAGGAAGATATACTTGGGCCCTGCTACCCATGCGGGAGACCAGGATGGAGTTCAGTTTCCTGACATTGGCCTCATCCAGCTCTGACTGTTGTAGCTATCTGGGGAGGAGACGAGCAGATGGAAGCTCTCTCTGTTACTCTGCCTTTCAAATAAATAATTTAAAAAATATCAGTGGTCACCAGGAGGGAGGAATGAAGTTCAGCACCCAAGCCATTTTCAGCTACCATGCAAAACAAGTGCTCTGGCAGCACATATGCCTACAGGGAGCAGAAAGGGTTTTTAGGGCAGTAAAAACAGTGGTGTTCAAGGTCATGAAGTACATGACTGTCCAACCTCAAGGTCAGCTTCAGGGCTGGGAGAGTAGATGGTCATGCATTTAACGTGTGCTTCATGCTACTACGGGATGTGGTTAATGGGAGAGGCCACATGCACAAAGGGTCAGGGGACACACGGGAAATCTACTTTCTCTCAGTGCTGTTGGGAATCTAAAACTGCTCTTTAATGCTCAGGGATGGCACTGGGTGTGGTGTGCCACGCTACTGCTTGTGATACCAGCATCCCCATTAGAGTAATGATTTTAAGTCGCAGCTACTCTTGCTTCCAAACCTGATGCACCTGTGAGGGTTGCAAATGATGACCCAAGTGCTTGGAATCCGGTCATCCATGGATGGAGTTCTGGCTCCCCATATGGTCACAACAGCCGAGGCCAGAAGTCAAGAGCAGGTGTGCCACGTGGGTGGCAGTGGCCCAAGCACTTAGACCATGTTCAGCTGCTTTCCCAGGCCATCAGCAGGAAGCTGGATTGGAAGCAGAGCAGCTGCAACATGAACTGGCACTCAAGAGATGCCAGCACCACAGGCGGTGGCATTATCTGTACCTAAATAAATCTTTGAAAGAACACAATTACACACGATTTATGTCTTAACATTCTAACAGGCTAAAACATACAGTAAAAAACAAAACAATGTGTCTACAAAAAAAAAAAAACAAAAACAAAAAACACAAAAACCCAGCAACAGAAAAAACCACACATACCTGCTTCTTGCCAATTCTGAACCCAGCCTCAACCCACGCAGGATCATAGGATTGCAATGAAAGGCACTGAGAGAGAATGCTGACCCCTTCCTTTTATTCCTGATCCAACACTGTGCCAGGCAACTGTAGGTGTCACCCATCAGTGCTGCTCTGCCTGGTTCAGCCACCTGAGTGGGACACAGCCTCCGTCCTGAGTGGGAGCCAGCCTGGAGGTGGGGATACCACCCGGTGCCAAGCCTGGGAGTCTTCACACAATATCAATCCCATCTACTTCCTCAGAAGGAGCAATCTATACAGGGAATCTACACTGGGTGGTGGTGGCGCCTAGGGGCCTTAGGCCTCAGTAAGGCACTTCCCTGAAGCCCAACAGTTTCAGGATAGCACAGGATTCAGTGGATGCCATGGGACAAGCCTATGCTGCAAAGGAAGCTTTCCTAACAAGGAGCGTAACCTACCTTGTAGGTAGCAGTGAGAAGTCAGCAGAGGAAGAAAGAGACACAGGAAGAGGGAAAGCAGGATGATTATCTGAAGTGGGAATTAGCTGGCTGGCACCAAAAGCAGGATAATAACCCAGATAAACGAGCTCAACATTACAGAGGAAGATCTTTCATCCTTACTCCCCAAGTGGTTGCAATGGCCGGAGCTGAGCCAATCTGAAGTCAGGAGCCAGGAGACTCTTCCGGGTCTCCCACATGGATGCAGGGTTCCAAGGCTTTGGGCATTCCTCGACTGCTTTCCCTGACCGCAGCAGGGAGCTGGATGGGAAATGGAGCTGCCAGGATTAGAACTGGCACCCATAGGGATCCTGGTGCATGCAAGGCAAGGACTTTAGCTGCTAAGCTACTACACTGGGCCTTGAACATTGTTTTTTGACACACTGGGCACCCATGACAAAGGGGAGCAACTCCTGAGATGGAAGGCAACATGGTGAGCTCTTCGATGATCTTCCTTCCATCCTCGGGGTTCTCTGAGGCCGGCCTAGAATGGTCAGCAAGCACCCGTTAAGTGCACACATTCTAGCAATCCAGGTTTTTTTTTTCTGAAAATTTATTTTGGGCCCGGCGCAGTGGCCTAGCAGCTAAAGTCCTTACCTTGAACATGTTGGAATCCCATATGGGCACAGGTTCTAGTCCTGGCAGCTCCACTGCTCATCCAGTTCCCTGCTTGTGGACTGGGAAAGTGGTTGAAGAAGGCCCAAAGCCTTGGGACCTGCACCCACATGAGACCTAGAAGAAGTTCCTGGCTCCTGGCTTCAGATCAGTGCAGCCCCGGACATGGTGGTCACTTGGGGAGACAAGGCCAGACTACTCCCAAGTAACTTCTAAGAACCACATACTGATTCAAAATGGGCCACACATGGCCATGTAAATGCTAAACCAAAAAACTTCTGAAAAACAGGGAAATCTTTGTGACTATGTCAAAAATCCACAAAATAACCTGAACTGCATCAATACTAAAAAATTCTGTGCTTAAACACCATTTATAGATGGAAAAGATAAGCCACAGATGAAGGAAACTTTTGCAAAGCATAAAGAATTTGAGCAGATCCTTCACTCAGCGAGAGGGCAGGCAGGGCAGCATGGGAGAACGCTCAACATTCTCCCTCATCAGCAAATGCCAGTGGAACTGCCAGGAGAACCAACACTGGGGACTAGAAGGAGTCAAGCTAACGATGGACCACATCAGGCACTGGGGAGGATGTGAGTGAGCTGAAGCTCAGGCCCCACTGCGGGGAGGAGACAATGCAGGAGCCGTCCTAGAAAATGTGGGGTGGCTACGGATTTGTCTGCAAAAAGACACAGGCAATGCTGATACCAAGACTCACACATCTTCAAAGAAACCAACCCAAATCACCAACTGGCAAATGGTTAAATAAGCTATATCCACACAGAAAATTATTCC